ACAGACGCGCATATGATGACTGTTCAACTGTGTATTTATTTATTTATACATTCATTGCATTTTATCTTTATTTTTAATTTTCTAACTGCCGGAGGTATCCAACGGAAGCTGCTATCAACCTGGCGTTGGGTCAACATACTACCCTACCTCCCCCTTACCCAATTGCATATGAGAATAGGGTTTTGTTGTTGTTGTTGTTTTAAATTACATGTATTTAATTTTAGGGTAAATTATGTGTTTAGTGCTTAAATTATCAGTTTTGATCCGTTTTAATAGCTAGAATTTTAATTTTTCAAAACCATACCTATGTTTTAATTGTTGTTTACTATTGTTTAATTTTTTTTAATTTAATTACTTAACTTTCAAATTACTCCTAATTTAATCACTCTAACTTTCAAAATTATTTTTATTTTTAATTATATATTAATAAAATAATAAAAAAATGTCACGTTACAAAAATTATTAATAAAATAAATTGGACTGATTAAAATATGAGTGATTTGAAAATTGAGTATTTAAATTGAATTTTTTAAACTTTAGTACCAAAATATGAGGGAGAAGAGAGTTGAGTGATTAATGATGTAATTTACCCATAAAAAATACGATGTCGTTTACCTTTTAACAACGAGTTACTAAATAGAATAAAAACTAATATTAGTATGGTTTTGAAAAATTGAAAGTTTAAATACTAAAATGGACTAAAATTAATAGTCTAGGTGCTAAACGCATAATTTACCCTTGATTTTAATTAGTTCATGTCTAACATTTTAACGTCGTAATTAGTTTTATTCATTAAAAAGTGGGCCTTTAAATTACCAAAATATACATACCCGATTGCTTATTAACAAAATTAAACCTACTTATGCCTTCTTTTTACTAAAAAATAAATGCACATAAATACGAAACCAAAATAATATTAATCCTTTAATTAATAATAAAAAATATTAAAATTGAAAAGGTTCATACGGCAAAACTCCAACTTTTGCAATTTATGAATGGACATTAATAAAACGACAAATTGACAAATCTCCTACTTCACCACCAATCCCAACTATTATCTTAATGTTTCTCCCTTTGGAAAATGTGTAAAGTACCTTGAACTATGCCAAATGAGTGTTTTGGTTGCTAACTTTTGAAAGTTATAAATGAACATCAATTTATTAAACGACTGCAAAATAATCACTAATTTTATCAAGTTGTTACAAAATAACCATTAAATCGACAAATCTTTTACTTCTCCACCAATCCCAACCAACAATTGTTATCTTATTGTTTTCCCTTTAGAAACGAGTAAGTTTACTCAATGATGCTTAGATGTTTGTTTTGGTCATTAAAATTTATAAAATTATAAAATGATCATTAATTTTATTAAATTACTATAAATTATCATTCAATTTATTGAAAAGATACAGTTATTATGATGTCATAGTGACTATTTTACAATAGTTTCATAAATTTAAAAAAATTATTTTAGAGCTTTTGAAAGTTTAATGATTATTAGAACATAGTTCAGTGACCTATGATGAATTTTACCCTTAGGAAGGAAATAAATCCTTTTTAAGCTCTCAAATCTGTCTCCAATCTACTTGTCTTTTCCAATCTTTACCTTCGTTAATGGGCAGCAAATCCCTCAACCGCTGGAAACGGCAAAAACCGACACCGGACAACGACCACCGCCACCAAGAACAGCCTCTGATTCCAGGCCTGCCGGAGCACGTGGCAGAGCTCTGCCTCACGCGCGTTCACCCTTCTTTGCTTTACTCCGTTTGCCGTTCATGGCGTCGCTTAATCAACTCCCCTTTGTTCCCTCCTTTCCCTTCTCTCTACACTCTCTTCTTCTCATCATCGAATGAAGAAATCCAGCTATTGAGCTTCGATCCCATTTCGTCCAAGTGGGAGTCAATTCCTCCGCCCGTTAACCCTCTCAATTTCCTCGTTCATCACCCTTCTTTCATATCCCGAAACCTCCCCGTTCAATCCATTTCAGTCGCCGGTAATCTCGTTCTTTTGGCTGCAACCGCCCCCAGTTTTATTCCAGCCCTATCCCGTCCGCTCGTATTCTCTCCGCTGTCTCGGACGTGGAGTCTGGGTCCTCCAATGGAGACGCCCCGCCGTTGGTGTGCGTCGGGGGCGTCGGGTCCGGCCGTTTTCGTTGCCAGTGGGATTGGGTCTAACTTCTCCAGCGAAGTGGCGAAGTCTTTGGAGAAGTGGGACTTGGAGGAGGATGAAGAAATGGATGATTTCAAATGGAAGAAGATAGAGAGCTGAAAGACGGAAGATTCAGCAGAGACGCCATCGAAGCCGTGGGTTGGCGGCGGAAGCTTTGTATAGTGAACGTGGCTAAACAAGGGAGTCTTTACGACGTCGATAATGACAGATGGAAGATCTGCCGGAAGGGATGGTGGCCGGTTGGAGAGGACCCGTCGCCGCCATGGACGAGGAAGTTCTATATGCCGTAGACGAAAGCAAAGGAGTACTCACAAGGTATAACCAAGAAACGATAATTGGGAGTGATAACGGAGAGAGAAAATCTGAGAGGAGCACGCCAAATGACCGCCGCTCGCGGAAGATTGTGCGTTATTTGCGGAGATGGGCAGATTATAGTCATCGATGTGTCAGCGGCGCCACCAAAATTCTGGGCCGTAGAAAGTCCCCCGGAGTTGGAACCGTTGGCCGTCCACGTCTTGCCACGGCTGATCCACCCTGATTTTTTTCGTAATTAATTCACCGTTGAAAGTGTCAATTCTTAACAAAGATTTTTTTAATGCGATGGAAAGTGAAATTTGTCGATTATTGAATATAAGGAGTGGAGTTCTGTATTTGTTAATTTATTAAATATCAAAGGCACACGGAAGCCACGGTAGCCATGAAAATTTAAACATATTAGAGGCGCAGCAGAGCAGAAAGTGAAGCTTTTGTAGATAAATTGCAAGGTGGTTGAACCGCTTACCCCATTATTTTCCAGAAGGAATAAATGGACATTAATGTCTTTAGGAAGATAAACATCAAAATGAAACATATAGGATACAAGTAAATAAAAATATATAAAGTGAATAATATATATAAATAGAAGGGACATAGATTTCTAAAAGAAGGGATATAGATGATGGTAGATGAGATCATAGGACCCTACACGGTTTAATGGCAGTCCCTATCTAAAACAACTGTGTGGATCTGTATGCTTAATTTTATTTTTATTTTGTAAATTTGAAACACCTTTATATTCAGAAATTGAAACGAAAAGCTAAGCATTAACTGCGTGCCTGTCTACGTACAAAATACCACAAGAGGTGCATGCATTGCTTTTTCAACATCCACCAACTTGCTTCAAAATACTGATTTCCACTCACCCTTAGGATGCGTTTGGTTCACGGAATGTAAGATTATCAGTGGGAATAAAAGATTACCAGAGAATAGGATTACAGGAATGTTACATTTCTGTGTTTGGTTGGTTTGGCAGGAATGTAAGATTACAGTGTTTAGTTGAAGGAATAAAAGATTACTGGAATGTATATTTTACCAAATTGTCCTTTTTTTATATTTTTTAACCAGTGAAATTCTAAATATTTAAATAAACATTATTTATATAAAAATTCTATTTGTTAATAATATATTACATGAGTATTTAAATATATCATATATTATTTTAATTTTAATTAATATTAAAATTTACATAATTAATGTAAAATATATTAAAATTTTACATCAACATTTAACAAAATGTTACATTGTGAAAATTCTTCATAGATATTCATAATAATAAAAAATGTAAATTTTTGTTATCTAAGATATAATATTTATTATATCTTCTATACAATAATTTATTTATTTATATTTTATATTATACTTAATTCTGCATACTTTATCATATTATTTATCTCATGAATTTATATTACATAAAACTAACGTAATCACTTGCCGAGGAATCAAGCCTCTCACAAAGCATTCCACTACTTTAACATTGAACCAGTTCTTTTTCATCAACAATGTAAAATGGGCAATTAGTACTTATAATCCACATTTGAAAAAATATGCTTCATAAATGAAACGAGATTCGTACAAAGAGTTCATAGATGCTGATCTACACTCACATCTAAGCTAATCGATCACATAAAAAAAGGCTCATAAAATTGTCATTTCTAAAGTTAATGAAAATCACATGCCAGAGAATCGAGCCTCTCACAAAAGCGTTCCACTTTTTCAGCATTGAACCAGTCCTTTTTCATCTGCAAAGTAAAATAGGCAATTCTTACCTCATCATCATACTTATAATCCACAATCGAAAAAATACACTTTTTAAACTAAACGAGGAATGTACAAAGTAAGGGTAGCCATCAATACTAAAGTTCTACGGGGCGCTTTCGACAATGACTTTATGAAATAGAGAACAAAGTTCCCACATTCTTTACCATTTCTTTGTTGTGGCACCTGAAAAGATCAAGGGTCTCTGATTACAATTCATATTTTCAATGAAAAGTTGCATATTTGGTGCACAATTCTTCCAATATAGCTTCATAATCACACTTATCATTTGTTTTCAATATTTTCAAAACAAAAATCAATAATAAAAAAACCAACCAAACATGTCTCTGACTGATAAATCAATGAACAACATAAACAAGGAAAGGAAAAGGGGGTGGGGGGAATAGAAGAAGTAAATAATGGAATACCAGGATGCGAAGAACAAATTTCGATCGGTATTGAAGCATCATCACCATGTTTTTTCTTTCCCATCGACCGATTTCTCTACCAAACACAACCAAAAAAAGAATACAACCTTTTAAAAACAGAGCCAGTGAGACTCTCATTTAACTATAAACACACCCAAGCAGAAATCTACAAGTAAAGGCTTTCAAAAATCACATTAGTAACACACAACCAAGCAGAAATCTACAAGTAGGAGGCTATCACATTGATTGGCATCTCCAATTTAACTCGTTGTTAAGGTAAGCCTTAGCTCCAAACAATTAAACTGTCTAGAGTCATTTCAAGCAGAAAAATCCATTTGTGTTACTATTAAATCCAGGGTTTCCTACAACACTAATACCTCCCCTATTTGTTACTCCTGAATGTCCGTGGGAGCTGCCATGAGATAACTGTAAAATGGCATTCATAAGAAAATGAAGTACATGTTACAAGAATGTAAGATTCTATTTCTTCCTATTGATTTTCATTTTTTATTTGTTTTTGTCCCAAAGACATGCATGAAGGGTGAAGGAAACATAAATAACTTTTGCTGCAGCAATCATAGGAAGTTAAATCACAGTATGATGGGAATATTATAGGCACCTGAGAAAGAGAAACATAAAGATTATTTGATGCAAATCTTCCACCAGAAAAGCTCTCAGTAGGTTGTTGAACCCCAACAGTTGGAACATTACTTAATATTGAGTTTCTTGATGCGAGTGTACCAGGTATGTTGGGAACATTAAAGCTACCATGAATATTATACAAACCCTGAATATTGCCTGCAAAACAAACAATACAATTGCATGAGTTTCGAAGAACTTAGTTGTGTGGAAATCCAGTAAAATATACCCACTAGCATGATGGAAAACAGGAGAGGCTGCACCAGACTGACCAGAGAAAGATGTTACAAAAGAACGTCCACTACTGTCTGGAAGATTTGTTGCTGATCCATTGATAGAAGACTACAACCAGATACACATTACAATTTCCAGTTGATAGAAGACAGACATGTAATGCAACTAGATACCAAATTTGATTTTAAATTTTGATTAAAAAGACAGTAGACGATAAATGGAAGAATATTTCCAAACATTCCATCATTAATGATCCGTAATTACTAATATTTTGAACCAATTAACATTTAGCGGAGCATCATTGACCTATAATCAATACATTTCTACTCTAAGTTCCTAAAACCAGTACGCCAGAACGTACTGATATGGGGAAGCACATACACATATGCGCAAAAATAGAGATAAAAGAATCCAATATGCTGCTACTACAAACCACGAAAATATAGATCATGTTATTATCTGCTAAAACAACTAAATGGACCTACAGAAGATACATATTTCATTTAGACAAACTAAAAAAGGGAAGTTCGTAAACAAGATTGATGTTTTAAAAATATTGCAACTCCAAATAAAATGTTCTCCATAAACAATGTAGCATGTCATACTATTTATGAAGTTTTAAAAGCGGGGAAAACATAAGAAATAATTCAAAAACTTTGGGCCTTGAAACCATTTCACAGTATTCAATTAAGGAAATTTTGCAAAGTAAGAAAAGACTACAATCCCTTGACAAACCATCCAAATAACATCAATAAAACAAAACCAAATTCGCATCAGCCATGATAATGCAAAAGTTTTTAGGCCAAAAGACGAGAGCAAAAGAAAAACAGAAATAGTCAGTGTAATTGATTCAGTATCATCTTAAACAAACTAATCTTCCGTATTTCATTGAAGAGGAAATGTGGAGAAAGGGAAAGACAACTACATATCTGATATTATCTGTGGAGCTATAAATTTCGTTTCCAACAACTAAGTTTTAAATAATTATAAAAGAAATGAATGGAAAAATGCACTACTATTCAGGTTAGTTCAGTTGAGCTAATCGACCGTCTCTCCACGGTTTCTCAGTAATCAAACAGAAAAATCAAGCATAGAGTTCACTATCCTACCAAAATCGTTAAAACAATACATTCAAGAAAAATCATAAGATCGAATTTCAGCCAAAAAAACTTAGTGCGATTGGAGAACGAACTCAGACAAGTTAAGATCGAAACCCAGGAAATAGTGAAAAGAAAAATTAGGTGCTTGAAACCCTGAAAAAATAAACAAGTAAAACATTGTAAAGAAAGGGAGAGGAGAAGAAAGGGAGAGGATAAGAAATATTACTAGGAGAACGATGAATTTTTCGCAGAGGGAGGCAAGCTCTCACGAGAAGAAGAAGACATTACAGAGGTAAACGGGGAAAAGAATGGTATTTTAGCCCTTAACACGGGAATAAAAGAATACCTAATAGATGTGTGGGAATAACATTTCCAGGAATAAATACATTTGGGAAAGAAATATTGCCCTCATTTAGGAAAGAATACCCAATCAAACATGGATATCCTTAGTCAGGAAAAAAATATGCCTGCCAGGAATCCTAAAATACTTGATCCAAACGGGCTCTTTAACTTTACCCAATACTACTTGTGACATAAAATGATGCGCACAGGTTAACTCAGAGTTGAACTCAAGGGGATATTAGGGGAGATGTCACCTTATGAAAATTTTATTTTATATAATTTAGATATTTTTTATTAATAATCTAATTTCATACTTCAAATAATATATAATTTTGTATTTCCGAATTTTTTAAAAACAACTTAAAAAAAAGTTTATTCCATGGGTTTACTCAATACAACGCTAAGAAGTTTGTTTCACCAAAAGTTCATTCCCTAATAGATGTGTGGGAATAACATTTCCAGGAATAAATACACTTGGGAAAGAAATATTGCCCTCCTTTAGGAAAAAATACCCAATCAAACATGGATATCCTTAGTCAGGAAAAAAATATGTCTGCCAGGAATCCTAAAATACTTGATCCAAACGGGCTCTTTAACTTTACCCAATGCTACTTGTGACATAAAACGATGCGCACAGGCTAACTCAGAGTTACTCAAGGGGATATTAGGGGAGATGTCACCTTATGAAAATTTTATTTTATATAATTTAGATATTTTTTATTAATAATCTAATTTCACACTTCAAATAATATAAAATTTTGTATTTCCGAATTTTTTTAAAATAACTTAAAAAAAGTTTATTCCATGAGCTTACTCAATACAACGTTAAGAAGTTTGTTTCACCAAAAGTTCATTCCACGGGCTTATTTTATATATTACGTATGTTTCAAATTTAAAGGTAAAAATATTTGAAGTAAATGTCTTGTTATTATATAAAGGGTAAACGACACGAGTGATTTAAAAAATCATTTTGACCATCAATATTTTAATTTGATCAAATATATCATCCAATTATTTAAATACTTCAATCAAGTCACCCGCCATTAACATTTAACGGAGGAGGTGACGTGGCAGTTAAAATATTTTGGTACAATTACACAATCGGTCCCTATTATTTATATATTATCTTAATTTGATCCTAATTTTAATAAATTAAAATAAATTTAACATCGAATCAGGAGATGACACGTGTCAAGAGATTTACACATGGCGTCATTCGATTGATGGACTCAATTTACATTAATTTATTTTTAATTTAATAAAATTATTTTATTCCAATTAGAAGGTGACATGTGTACAACAAACGTGGGGGTGGGGAGTCAAATCTCGGTCCCTTGATAGGCTTAGATGAAGCCAAGCCACTGAGCCAAAGTTGATTTAAACAACAAATGATATATATTTTGTATCTTAGTATAAATGATTTACTCAAAATTAATAATATTTTATATATCTTAAATTTTAAAAATATCTTTTATTTGTGTGTTAACATATTAAATATATTTTGTTTTTATTTTAATAGAAAATTTTATTTTATCAAATACATTTTGAAATAAAAACAAAATATATTTAATAAGCTAAGACAAAAATAAAATATATTTTTGAATTTTAAGATATATAAAATATTACTAATAAGTTAAGACAAAATATAGTTTTACATTAAAATAAAAATAAAATGAAATTTAAGACATATAAAATATTATTAATAGATAATAATAAAATATATTTTTACATTAAAATAAAAACAAAATATATTTAATAAGTTAAGACAAAAATAAACTATATTTAATGAGTTAAAAAAAACAAAAGATATTTTTTAAATTTAAGATATATAAAATATTATTAATTTTGAGTAAAACATTTACTAAGGTACAATATATATACATTTGTTGTCTAAAGTATGCAAATAAGCATATTTTGGCTCAATGGTTTGACTCTAACTAATCTAGTCAAGGACCAAGGTTCGATATCCCATCCCCACGTTTGTTGTAGCTTTATTTTCTTTCAAGAGAGTGTCACCCTCTAATCGGAGGAAATTAAATCTATTATGTGATAACATGTGTTATCAATGATACATGATACCTCCTGATTTGAGGTTTAAATTTATTTAAATTTATTAAAATTAGGATCAAATTGAAAGAATATATAAATAACATGGATTAATTGTGTAATTATACTAAAATATTTTGACTATCACGTCACCTCCTCAGTTAAATGTTGACGACGAGTGGCTTGATTAAAACATTTAGATAGTTGAATGGCATGTTTGATCAAATTGAAATATCGATGTTCAAAATAATTTTTGACCATAATAATTTTTTACCATAGTTGAGTGGACCAAGGTTCGATTCCCCATCCCCACGTTTGTTGTAGCTTTATTTTCTTTCAAGGGTGTCACCCTATGATTGGAGGAAACTAAATCTATTAAATTAAAAATAAATTAATGTAAATTGAGTCCATTAATTGAATGATGCCACTGTGATAACAACTATTACCAATGACACATGACACCTCCTGATTTGAGGTTTAAATTTATTTTAATTTATTAAAATTATGATTAAATTGAAAGAATATATAAATAACATGGACTAATTGTATAATTATACTAAAATATTTTGACTGCCACATCACCTCCTCCGTTAAATGTTGACGACGAGTGGCTTGATTGAAACATTTAAATAGTTGAATGGCCTGTTTGATCAAATTGAAATATCGGTGCTCAAAATAATTTTTGACCATAGTTGAGTGGTCACCAATGTAATTTACTCTCATATAAACTATATCGAATTTTTAATGGTATATATCAAGTTTTAATAGAAAGACTTGACATTACAGCAGGTCAGGTCGATGGAGGTAGAAAATGACTCAAGATATTATTTCACTAATTTCCCAATCCATCCTTTATGATTTTATTATATCAATCTTATTATTTCAAAAACTTTAAATAAATCATTTTTACTCTCTATATATTCTCTATTATTTCTCTAAAATTTTCAATTAAATAAGTTCAAAAATATTCAATTAGATTCAAGCTTCTCTTTTTATTTCCTCCGTTCAAGCTTCAAATGGGAACTGATATCATGCTGGTGTAACTTTTAAAACAATACCTTTCCTTGTTTTACTCACATGCTTACAATCCATTTGACGAAACCCTTGCTCTCATCATTTGTTATGCACAGGGATATCTCAGGCTTCTTTTGTTACCTCTTCCATTCTATATCACACGACAATTCAAAATTTATACCATGAATAATTGTATGATGATGATTATATTCATGAAGAACCAAACCTGTGTCTATGCCTTGATTTGTCAGATTTTTTTTTTGAATAATATAGAGCAAGTACATGACAATATCTATTAAAAAATAACTCTCAACCTTTGAATATTAATCGCTCACCCCTTACATCTATGGTACTCGAACTCGGGTTCTCAATGAATAACAACTATTCAAATAGGACAATACAACGAAGAGGAAAAGGAGCAAAATATATGGTCTCAGATCAACAGGACAGCAGCAACATTATTGTTGCTTCTACTTGCCATCTAATGATTCAGTTCAAATCTTACTAAAAGGACCAACCGCCAAAAACGCATACAAGTGCTGGAAATATCAATTTTACAAATGGAATTCAAGCATTCATTCAAAACATCCTATGAGGATC